TATATATATATACACACACACACACACACACACACACACACACATACATACATACATCTATCTATCCATCCATCATCATACTTTCGATGGCGGTGCGGTTAACCTTTCTTTCCCATTGAGTGTGTCTTGTACAAACACTCCAGTGCACTGACAGACAAGTTGTGGCTTTTACACCTTCCAAAAAAAAAAAAAAAGCCCTCCAACATTAAGCAGTGACACCTTCAGCTTCGGCCCATCCTTGAACCATATCACCCCCCCCCACCCCCGCCGCCTTTCTACTGCACACACACGCATCAGTGCGGTGAGAGTGTGTAAAACAAGTGCCATCAGTGTGTCATACATTCACGGTGCACCCTGGTAACTTAGAATAAACCAGCACAGAAAACACCAGTTTGTGCGCTCTCAATTGCCTTACGGGGAAAAATAAAGGTTCAATGAAATAAATAGGTACTTTCAAATCACTTTGGGTCAGCACAAAAACTGTGAATGTAAATTGGACTTTTGGCTTTAAAGTTGCCTATCCTTATGCTTTATATTATTTTCTTTCTTTTGTAGGGGGCAGTAACTGCGAGTAAAACGTGAAGCATTTTTTTCAAAGAAAAGTGGAGAGAATGGTGTGCCCTGTGGCATATGGATTCTGTGTGTGCGCGTGTGTGTGCGTGTGTGTGTCCAGAAGGACATTTTGATTAGAGGCTGCGTACAGTATGTGTGTTTCATGTTTTATGAAGACTGAGCTCCGAGTTGCTTTCAACCTTCAGCCTCAGGCAACACTGAAATCGCACTTCTGTAACCAGAGCGCGTGTGCGCGCGTCTGTGTGTGTGTGTGTGTGTGTGTGTGTGTGTGTGTGTGTGTGTCCATGTGTGTGTGTGTGCATGTGTGCGCGTGAGAGAGAGTGAGACATACATGCCCGAGGGGGTCAGCAGCATGAGCCTGAAAAAGAGCACCACTTTCTCTCACCCCCCCTGCCCCCCCAACCACTTTCCCTTACTTGCTGCCAAGCTGAGGATTTGCAGCTTTGTAACATCCTTGAGAGCCACATCCATCCTTCCTCCTCCTCCCCCTAAAAAATAAATACATACATAACCATGTGGCTGGCATAGTCTACCGAAACATCTGTGCGGAGTATGGACTGGAAACCCCAAGGTCAAAATGGGAAACACCTCCGAAGGTGGTAGAGAATGACTGAGCGAAGACCCTGTGGGACTTCCAGATACAGACTGACAAGATGGTAATGGCGAACCAACCGGATAGCGTGATCATCGATAAAGGGCAGAGGAAAGCCGTTGTCGTGGATGTAGTGGTCCCAAGTGATGGAAACATCAGAAAGAAGGAACACGAGAAACTCGAGAACCAAGGGCTCAGAGAGGAGCTGGAGAGAGCCTGGAAGGTAAAGGTGACAGTCGTGCCTGTGGTGGTCGGAGCACTCGGGGCAGTGATCCCCAAACTAGATGAGTGGTTGCAGCAGAGTGCTGGGAACAGCAAGGATACTGCGCAGAACCCTCAAGCTTCCTGGCCTCTGGTCGAGGACCCGAGCTGAATGGGGGACGGACACTACCCGAGGGGGGAGACAAGGATTTTTTATTTTATTTTTTATATATACATAGATAGATAGATCGATAGATCGATATACACACATATAATTATCCATGAGTGAATGTGCGTCACCACATCTGCGTAGAACTCCAACAATTAAACTGTCAACACATGTAATGGGAAAATATGCACATAATTCATGTCAGACTTCCAGGGAGAATTGCACTTGTAGCTAATGGGAGGCTCCAGCTTTGAAGCTCTCCAAAAGGGGGAATGGCATGAATTAAGTAGCATCATCAGACACATTTGCTCTCTGGGAAAGTACACACTCACACTCACACTCACACGCACACACACAAAGTTAATTTTAGCTGGTGTCAGTCATGAACCATGTCTGATCTGTTTTCTCTCATGAAATGGGAAGAGAATTAAGTCTCCTCTAATGTACCTGCAAGGTCAGACTCGGCATCGGAGCATCTACGAGGGATTAGACGGAAGGGAGAATTAATATTCCATGAGAAAGTACGCACAAGAATCTCACTGTGAAGTGGTGCTGGCGGGATACTTGTCAACGCGATATAGCCCCCGTCGGCCATGTACAAGTTCCACTGTCGGCAGACGTAGCATGAGGTCATCTGCTGACAGATGGGACGACGGTCAACGTTTTGGCCTACCTCCACAGAGAGCTCTCCAGCACCTTGGTGGAGTCGGCGTGGTAGTACTTGGTCAGAATGAGAATGACCTGCAAGAGGAGAGAGGGAACACAGCACTTTAGTTGGCCAGCATTTGCATTTCAAACCTCTCTGGAAAGCTTCTCGCTCTGTACGGGCTCAAACATCCATTTTTTTCCTTCCCCCCCTCATATGAAACTTTGGTAAGCATCGGGTCAAAAACGTAATTCACTTTATTGGGGATGGGTCAACGCTGTCATGGCTAATGGTTGGTAATGATGCGAATGGGGGATCTTGGGTATGGCCATTATTGCAGGCCATTATTTCCGGTGTCAGAGTGTCACGTGAGGAGCGCGGCCATATATCTTCAATGTTTTCATAAACAGTGAACTCGCTGTGGATACGTTTCAGATTATTGGCTAACACCCGCCCAGTCTCAGTGCCATTTTTAACAGCTCTCAGTAATTTGACATAAAATACCCATATTGAATAAAAAAAAAAATTTAAAAAATTAAAAACTCATGCTGAGTGCTCTCCTTTCAAATCCCATTTTGAGAGGAGAGTAAATGCTGACATGAAAGGCAGGGGGCGAGACAAGCGAGCTTTACTGTTAGAGCTTATTTCATACACAAGGCAACTCAATATGCTTCACACAAGCAAACGCACACACCACCTAAAAGTACTGACAAACAGCTCATGACATTATGAAACATGAAAAAAAACACACACATTGACTACTTAAACAGATTAACAGAAGATTTTAAAACATTTCAAAGTCAGGACATAAAAGTCGGTAAGGAGAGTAAATGCTGACATGAAAGGCAGGGCGAGACAAGCGAGCTTTATCGCTAGAGCTTATTTCCTACACAAGGCAACTCAATGTGCTTCACACAAGCAAACGCACACACCACCTAAAAGTATTGACAAACAGCTCACGACATTATGAAACATGAAAAAAAACACACACATTGACTACTTAAACAGATTAACAGAAGATTTTAAAACATTTCAAAGTCAGGACATAAAAGTCGGTTTCGAACACTACTAACAAATCAATTGAAATCGATTCTCCAGCTGACTGGGAGCCAGTGTCAGGAACAAACATGGAGAGAAAATATAAAGACAATAAACGCCCAATATATATCATAAACAAGGGCCGGAACGATGAATCGAATCGCTGTTTGACAAACAGCTCACGACATTATGAAACATGAAAAAAACACACACATTGACTACTTTAAACACATTAACAGAATACTTTAAAACATTTCAAAGTCAGGACATAAAAGTCGGTTTCGAACACTACGAACAAATCATATCATATATCAACAAACATTGAGAGAAAAAAAATGACAATAAATACCCAATATATATAATAAACAAGGGCCGGAACGATGAATCGAATCGCTGTAATTCAATTACACACAGACTGTCAGCCAAGCCTACGCCGCCACGCGCTGACACCCATATCACTCACCAGGCCAAGCCTTTTAAAGCAATACACAAAATCACGGTTGCTATAGTAAAACTTGAAGATGGCGACCCCTAGAGAACAGAATAATATCGACAACTCTAATGCACATCTGATTGTGTTGAGTAATTCCGAATATTGTTACAATACTTTATTTGAAAAAAATACAAGCTCACCCGAATATACACGTGTTTGAAAATAGGGAGTCACTTTTCAATCCCCCTTGTCTCATCATTATATTTTCATGAATAAAACATGGCGGTCCACGGCACAACTCGACCCCCGCGCGACTTCGCCCGGTCAGGCCGCTCTTTCAAATCGCTTCGCATTTTGACAGCGATGGGATTTGCACTGTCCTGTTGTAAAGAGTGGCACGGGGTCAGATAGCACGGAGCGCCCCGAGGTTTGAGTGACGGGATGTGTTGATGTGCAAGGCAAAAGCGGCGCAGGCCGCCTGCGTCCAGGGCCTTTTGTGCATCAAGTGTACAGGGAGGCTGCCTGATTCATGAAACGTGTTTTTATTTTGAAACAATACTTGGCCCCAGAGTCCATCGTAAGGCTCGTGTGAAGCAGCCCAGAGTCAAGATGCCGAGTCGTTCACATTTCAAGATGCACTTATTTTGGTTTTGATTTGGTAGGAATGGGTAAAAACGACTTCATTCATTTCAATGAAGGGAAAACTCATCTTTTAATGGAGATCATCGAGTTCTGCTCGACTGTAATTGAGTGACCGCGACATCCTCCCCTGTGGCTTTTTTTTTGTTTGTCTGCCACGGCGGAGAAGGAGTTCAGTGACTTTTATCGGGACGGTCAGGACCTTGGAGTGACTCCCCTGCGGGACGCACAAGAGAGTCCATTGAGAGCGGAGATCACGGCCAGGCGACGACAATATGCCGCCTGTCCCGGGGACATTTGCCATCGCTTGTGCACTGACGAGGAAACGGACGGAAGGAAGCGTATGAAAGGAGACAAGTTGCTTGCTGGGCTCTGAGAGGAAGAATGTGGTCATTCATTTAGGGGAAGGGAAAAAAAAAAAAAACAGACCACACACAAACCCCTAATGGCAGTCTGGAATAAAAGAGGTCAAAACGTTTTGGGAATTGCAGATAAAATTGTCCGCGTGAACATTTCAGGCCACTTTTCTACGTGTGCATACACCCTCACGCCACTCCCCGGCTGAAGTTTACTGTCAAACTAAAGAGAAAGCAAAGACAACGCCTGCTAGCTTAATGCTAATAGCATCGATATAATGCTACAGATGTTAGAAAACAAATAGTGGCGCAACACATGTAGACAATAGATTCGACACAGATCTGATTGTCCGGATTGGATCCACGGATATTTCGCGTCTTCAGTGTTCGGTTGTCATGTCATCATTTGCCCATCAAGCAGTGATGTCACTGATCAGTTCCGCAAATAAGGAAATAAACAAGTGGTATTGGTGGATAAATTGTCCCATCTTCATATCGCCTCAGTGATCAGTTATCATTTTTTTCGTTAAACCTGCTGAGCTCAACTCCAAAATCCAAAAGCCTGATATATTGACAGACATGTATTCTTTATCCTGCGTGAAGAATGATGATCATATCTGCATTTTACCTCCGCTCAGTTGTAACTGTTTCCTTATGTGCCTGTACAGTATTGAATTGCTATACTGCCTCCAAGTGGCCAAAGTGTGCACACCAGACTGAGCTGTACACTTTGTGTTGAAATGAGGCAAAAAAAAAGGGGTGGGGGGGCAAAACGGCTGAATTATTTACATTCTATTTCATTATGCTATTACTTCATGTTTTTATTAAATAATACAGGAACTGGATACATTGTTGGTTAGTGCAGATCATTTCCTGATCACCCAACTAACAATTGCCAATGTACCTTGGCAGAAACACACACACACACACACACACACACACACACACACACACACACACACACACACACACACACACACACACACACACACCACAAAAGCATCAACTTGGCCAAAATAAATTGCACCATTCGTCCAACTATTCCCAATTACATCCATTGGGTGGCCGGTCACCATCCAGTAAATCTGGCGCATGCTCTTTAATCGGAGGGCGTCCTCTGACCCGCACGCTCGTTACCATTTTAACGGCGCGTTGAGATTGCCACCATTCATTAAAGGGCTCGGCCAAAGGGGAGAGGAGGGCAATTACACGCACCTCCGCCTCCGCTCGCCTCAACAGACCTCCACCGGGCCGGACGGCAGAGCAGCACCGCTCTTTGTTAGCCTTCAGATTTATCGGCATGCAGCATCCAACGACAATATATGATCCGAACTCGCTCCTGATAGCAGAGCACATGCATGCTCCCCTTATTGCCTATAATTGCAGGGCGCATCCGCATCGGGCTATCTTTAGAGAGCCCAAAAGCGTATCATCAACGCTCGAAAAAGCGCAGCCTCAAAAAGGGAAAAAGACAGTTAAGCACGCAAAGGCACGCGGCGTTGTGCGGGGAGAGGGAGCGCAAGGAACCCGCGGAGATGGACTCGTTCGCTCTCCAGCAACTAATTGGACCGACAAGAGCGAGCCAACCGAGCTGCTTAGAAGTGAGATCATCTACTGGCGCGAGTCGGAGGCCTTCGGGAGGAGATGCGGGACACGGCGGGAGACGGGGGAGGGAGAAACGGCCGCGAGAGCCGGGGAACAAAGAGACAAAGGAAGAGCTGGAAGCGGCGGCGCGACGACGCGGTCCAGGGACGATGAGAGCGGGAAATTGGAAGTGCGAAGGCGTGAATCGATGGAGCGCGGGGGCTGAGCCTTCTGGCACTTCCAACCTGTTTATTGATCCCAGCAGCTTACATGGACAAGGCTTCCAACGCAACTTAATCCAGCTCCGAGCCGTCGGTGTTTGCTTATCACGTTAGCGGAGTTGACGACGGCTCACGTCGGGCTGCCACACCTTTGCTAAAATACAATACAATACATCCAGATTTATGTAGCGCTTTCACAACAGTGACAGCTTTACGAAACACTTAACATAAAGTAAAACATTAAACACAACACAAAACATGAAAACATGGCCAGTTGTGCAATCTTAACCCACTTTTCCCTCATACGCTTTGTTGTTTGAAGGCGGTTTAGATGAAAGAGGAGAGAATCAAAGTGTCCTTTCACCAGTGGATCAGAGACGTCATGCTCAAAATGTGCACACGTCGGCTACAAGCTAAGTTTGAAAGCAAACAAGAAGCTGTCACATCCATTGACGAAAAAAAGAGATTGGTTCACTTCTCCTGTCCCATGTCAATCCGCTTCAATTCCAAGCGGCGACTCTCAGTTCCAAATACTCTCAGTTCCTTTCTCATCATCCTCACCTTAAGCAGCCATCCATCCAGCCGCACCAACGCAGACTGTCCAACAGTGCCGACATCTCCGCCGAACAAAACGGGGCTGTGAAAAATGCTGCCCATTCCAGGTGCAAAAAACACAAGCGCCCCGGGGCTGTCCAGCACCGACAGTCAAATGGCGCCGACATTCCTCCCAATCAAAATCAGTGCCGGCACACGCGTGCTGCCGAGAAGGCGCAACCACCAAGCACAGATTCTTCTGGCCAAAAAAATGCTGAAAACCGTACACA